ATTTCTCTACTGTCTTTCCCATTCCTGTGGAGGGCTATAATTTTACTCTGCTCTGATTGATTGTCTTTGTCAACTGAGAGAAATCACAGACAAACCAACACAACCTGCTAAGTTGACATCATTTCCCTACTTAGATGTGTGTGAGAACTGACTCAGAATTGAACAACCATAGGAGAGCACTATAGGGAGAGCACAGTCCATATGGCACCCCCAGGAGCGTCATTTTCACTTTGAATGAATGCATTCACAAGGGTCGAAAGGAGCTAGTCAGTCACTGGGATCCTCTGGTGAATTTATTTACTTATATGTTGTTTATGTGCCACACCTGTGTTGCTCAGGGCTTACGCCCAGCTCTGCACTCGGGGTCACTCCTGGTGGGGACCATATGGGGTGCTGGAGATTCAACCTGGGTCAGCTGCATGCAAGGTAGACACCATCATCTTCGATTTATTAACCCCTTTGCTGAGTAGCAGCTTTCCTGGTTGTGTGATTGATCTTGTAGAAGCGAAACTCTCCTTTTCTGCTCTCTTCCATGAACAGGATTATTTTGCATAATGAGTATCAAGTGCTTGGATTAACATACGCCTGCCATAGGGCAGGCATTTTAGTAAACACAAGTTGCTTGTTGTACGCCCAGCAGCTTGTTTACAGAGCCCGCCTGTCTCCCGGAAACATGGATATGAAAGGAACCTAAAGGGTAATGCGTAGAGGGCTACGCCAGCTGAGGGTTTGTTTAGAATGAGGCTGGGAGAAAACCACTGCAAGCCCTGGACGGGGAAAACAAGGGACCAGGAGGTTTAAATACAAGTGTTGCTTCTTGCCCCTATCCCATGGGGATTGGGCTTGTGTTTCAAATCCAGATGTTGGGTTTTGTTGTTGCTATTGTTGTTTGGGGGCCATATCTAGCTGTGCTCAGGGCTTCTCCTGACTCTGCTCAGGGATCATTACTGGAGGGCTCAGGGGACCATACGAAGTTCAGGTGATTGAACCTGGGTTGGCTGCGTGGAAGGCGAGTTCCCAACCACTGTGCTCCAGCCCCATTAAATATGGATATTTAAATGGTGGTCCCTGCTCCCAAAGGTTGAAAAGGAAACAGCCTGATAAAAAACTTTGTTGAGTTCAATTCACTCCATACTACCTACAACATGTCAGGCACTGCGCTGGGTACTTTATTCCATTCCTACATAGTTTGAGCCAGGGGACATCCATTACAGTCACCATGCTCCATAAATGGTCCCTTTTGTGACAAGGGATTGATTTGAAAGGTGTGGGATAAAATCAAGCTGGCAAGAGCAGCTTAAAAATCCCTAAACACCACCTTCCTTAGGAACGAGGTGGGTGAGTCTTTGATTCTACAAAGATTGTGTTGATGGTTAACCTGACTCATCCCCATACATACTGATTTTTTTTCCTGTCTTTTTGGGTCACATCCAGTGACCAATCAGGGATTATTTCTGGTTAGGCACTCAGGAATTACTCTTGGTGGTGCTTGGCGGGACCATATGGGATGCCAGGCATAGAACCTGAGTTAGCCACATGCAAGGAAAACGCCCTACCTGCTGTACTATGGCTCAGACCCCCATACCAAGATATACCGAGCCCATTTACAAACACAGGTTCTCCCCAGGGTGTTGCTCTTACTCCAACAGATAGATCAAAGATTCAACTGCCCTTCAAATGCAATCTTGGCTGTGTGCCTCGGGGTACCACACCTCTCCCTCTCTCTTCAATTGTTAACTTTCATATTTCAATTCAGGTATACTGGGGGATCATCTGGGCACTGTGATCCTGGGCAACTGACATCTCTGGGCTGCTTTTTCATCTTAGGGAGGGTTGAATGCCAACAATCACAGTCCTGGGAGTCTGACCAATCTGTCCTGAATGCCTCACACCCATCATTTATTAGCTGTGTGACCTCCAGGAGGCAACCCATTTCCTCTGCTGTCTGCAGTGATAGTTTCTCTGTGATATGCAGAACGGAAATGGTAATTCTTCTTTGTGCTACTACAAGGGTGAGAGAGTTGTATGTAAAGTCCTGTGTACTAACAAGCACTCCATAATCCTTTTCTTTTTTTTTTTTTGGCATCGTTTGGCTCTTTTCTTGCATTCTCTTCTATGAAAGTGCCTGCTATAGTGGCTAGGACAAAGCGTTGCTGTCAGCATCACACCCCTTGTTTCCAGAAGCAAAGTTCTTGTGACCGTTGAGTGTGAGGAATCTGCAAACGATGACAGAGAATTCACATCTGTTGCATTTTCCCCAACTTTGTTGAGAGCTTGGAGGAATCACGTACTAGTGATTTATTTCAGTATTCCCAGAGGATTCACTTACGGTGACCAGGAAAACGTGAAATGAGATGCTGGAGAATGTTCTGTGGGAGGAGGCCGGAAGAACTAGAAAAAGGAGAGCTCTAAGGCTTTGCATCAGGCCTGTGCGCCCCTCCCGACACCCACTGCAGCTTGTTCTTCCCAACAAACTAACAACTCGACAGCCCCTACTGGA